GCAAGATTTGTTAGTCTGTGGTGTCGTTTATAATAAGTTTGTTCCTATAAATAGCCAACTTTAGGTACTAATTTCCTCGAGTTTTTGTTTCGTATAAAAAAATTATCATCCTTACGTGCAAAAGAGGAAAGGGGATTTTCCCACGATGAGACTCTCAATTCTACTTATGCTTTTTTGTATGCGTCACTTTTACATAAAACATGTCTAATTGGAATCTTAACTTTCTAGGAGTAATGTTATATGGATTTAAAAATTTAACTTAATAAATCTCGATCATTGAATAGATAGTGGGTTCCAATAAATACTGAGACCTGTAATAAAATCAATAGTCGTAATTATCAAGTCTATTTTTTAAATCCATATAGTATTGCTCACTTTTTATTAAACTAAAACATTTTTAGTGAGTTAAAATACTATCACATAGTGTCAAGTGATGTACATAATCAGGTCTATCAATCGTATTGGGTGAAATAAGTTTGTGTCAAAAAATACTCTATTCATAAATGATTTGTTTATTAATTTATGTCTAATAAGTTGTATCATATCGGATTCGTGTCGTGTATTAATCGTGTATAATCGAAATATAAATAAGTCGTGTCATGTATTTCTTGTGATTGATTTTACCCATATTCGATTCGTTTATTAAACATGTCAGGTCCACTCGTTTACGAAACAGGTAACTTAAAAAAAAACTCAGACACTTCAATTGTGTTAACGATTTGTGTCAAATTTTGACACCTCTATACATAACTATTAAAATATTATGTATAAAATAAAATTAATTTTTCAAAATAATAAAATAAAATAATGTTATGTGTCTGACAAAAGAGTTTTACATTAATTATGCATACTATTGGACTCTGTCAAATGTTGTGTTTAGCTACAATAAGGCTATGTGTACCTGGTCAGTCCGACTTACACAATAAAAAACAACTTCTGGAAGGAAGAATTTGGGTGGGGGTCGGGACCTCACGTGTTATATATGGCCATATATACATGCCACGTTTTGAAAATCCAGAGGTTGTTGTGGTGTAGTATTTCAGTGATGTCGGCCAAACATTATCTTTGACTTTTTTGTATTTTTATTTGTCGTTGATATTTTATTAATTGAGAAAATTTGGGTGCATTTTCGTCATTATAAATTTTATAATTTTTTTTATAAATTTTAAAAATTATTTATAATTTTTATAATTATATGCTATCAGCATAAAAGTGATAACTTGGCTGACAAAAAATATAAATTAAATTTTTTAAGTTATAACATAATCTAAAAAAATTATAATTATTTTTTTGTAAATAAACCCAAAAAATTTGTATCAAAATTCACAAAATTGTAATATTTTCATTTATGGTACAAATTTTTTTTTAGGTACTGGAATCTTTTTCTTTTATCAATCTTATTATGATACCAAAAAAATATATTTTATCTCCGCTTTTTAAATTAATTACAACGCTTCATGTGTATATTTTTTATTTTATTAATATATATTAATATATTATTTTTTAAATCAGTAATTATAAATCATAACGGTGATTAATAAAAGAACGATACATATACTCCGCACAGACATAATTTCCAGCCGAAGATTCTGCAGCAACTATTGCAGGGACAGCATGCTGACTCGCAACCTTATCATTTTGGGGACGTATTTACGTACACATTACTACGTCATTAATATGTATATGTAAGGAATAAAAAGACCGATAATCGAACCATCTCAAATGAATTTAAACCGAACTTAAAAAACTCGGGACTTGTTTGGTTTGTGTTTTAAAAAATAGTATTCGAAAATAATTTTTTAGAAGAGTTTTAAGAAAGTGGGTTTGATATTTTTTGAGATAAAAAACTTATTTTGTTAGATAATTTTAAAAACAATTTTATAATATAAAAAATAGTAAAACCTGTTTGGATAGGCTAAATATATATTTGAACGGTAATTCAAACATTAGTAAAAAAATATAAAAAATTATTTTTAGATTGACAAATTCATAAAAAAAAAAAATTCAATAAACCAAATTTTAATATATATATATATATATATATAATATATATATAAATTTATATATATACATATAAATAAATATATATATATATATATATTTATTATTTCTTTATATATATATATATATATTGTGTGTGTGTGTGTGTATATATATATATATATATATATATATATATATATATATATTATTCTCCTTATTTCTAAAATTTTCAAAGAAAACTATAAAAACAAAATACACTTGTTTTCTGTTTCTTTGACTTAAATCTCATTTTTTCCTAAAATTTAGAAAACAAAAATGCTAAACAAACAGGTTTTTGATGTTTTTAAAATTTTGAAAACAAAAAACTGTTTCTGAGATGATAACCAAATATGGTCTTAGTTTCTTAATAGAGTTTAAAAAATTATTCAAATTTAACTTGTATAAAAAATGTGACAAGCCTGAACTTATTCAAAATAAATCAAACTCAAGCTGAACCCGAGTAATTGCACATAAACGAGTCGAGTCTATCGGACTTATTTTTGAAATAAGCCTAAAAAATTGTTCAACTTCGATTCATTTAGAAAATCAATCGAACTTGAATGAGTTGAACTTAAACCGAGTTCAAGTAATTTGGTTTGATTAACAGCCCTAAGAAATAGTAATAATGCTTTAAATTATAAATAATCCTAAGGTTGTATGGTACCAGACGTAATGCTCTAACTTATGAGTAAGATTATTTTTTAAAGTACAATATATTAAAAAAATAATGACTATTTTTTTATCTTATTTGTGACTATTGTGTTTTTTCTCTTTATATCATAAAATGATAAGGCAAAAGAAAAAACAGTATTGTACCCAAAAATTACTTTGAATTGTGGGTAACAAACTGGTAGTCATGGTAATTGTGGTTGAGAGAGAGAGAGAGAGGAGGAGGAGGAGGCTGGTGTGTTTGGAAATGAGGCTATCTTGTTTCAACGAAGATAACATCATCTTTTTCCGGTTACGTACCAGATTTTTTTTGTTCTAAGCGGAAACACTATGGGACCGTTGTGTAATTATTAAAATATTATTCGGTAGCATAAAAAAAAATCAAATTCAAATGTATGTAAGGGGAATTCAATATCATTCACCCTACACTGTAGAGTTGGCAATGGATCTGATTGGAGCTGTTTCTTTTAGGTGCAAAATAGAGGTTTGGAAAATAAAATGCAAAAATTAGAGTTAAAAAAGCTCTTGAAATCGATTGAAGTGTTTTCAAAAAAATCAACTTTTCGATTGAAGTGTTTTCAAAAAAATCAACTTTTCTTTGGAAACGATTGAATAAACCCATTTTTTTAAGCTTTTCCTCGGTGATGATAAAATCTATTTTTGCGCAAAAAATTGATGATCCAATAAGCTTTTGATTCCAGCAATTAGGTTTCATTTTATGCTCGTGAAGAAAAGAATGCTATTTTCTTTTTCTGTTTTTTAGGTAATCTTTCCAAGTGTTAATCATATTGGAATCACCTTTTCGAGTAAACATTAAAAATCTTTAATCACCAGTTAAATTATAAATATTGGTTCAACGCAAAAAAATATATATTAAGAATCGAATTGAATACATCTGAATTGATGGTTCTTCTCAACCTTACCCTTTACCATTTAATTATCCGAGTTCATTTTAGCCTGCTATTCTATTTGTTTAACGTCAATTAGTTACTAGAAGATTAGCTTGTCACCTAATCCGTGGACTTATTCGAAAGATCCAACTACAATATGCATGAATTTGATCTTGCAACCAGAGGTAACTTGATATTGATGCTTCTTTCCCTTTTTAGGCAAGGCAAAATCTAGCTTTTGTGGAAAGAAAAGTACCATTTGAAGTACACCACCAACTCATGGAATTGTAATATAGCAAGGCTATGGTTTTTTTAATACAACAATTCATCAAAATTTTTTTATCTCAAAATCATAAAATCAGTAGATCCGACAAACTTTTACTAACAATCCATCTAGATTATTAATTAAGAGACAGGATGAATTTGATTTCCTCTCACTTTATTGGTAGCTAATTAATAGTAATTTCTTAAGTAACGCTACCCACTCTTCCATGGATCGATCTCTCTCTCTATCTCTCACACACATTTCTCTTTCTGAATATTCTCTCTTGCAAGTTTGTCTCACCGCTCTCTCACATACCTATGACGAATATTATATCAAAAATGTTTCACTTGTATTTTACATGTGTCTTAAATTGCTGTTGCATTAAGTTAGACACGCATTAGAGAGGGACATGAGAGAGGATACATACAAATCAATAGTATTTACCATTGTTTCTTTACAACATGACCTAAGCCAAACCTCCAAACCGGCGTGGCATACATACAAAAGAAAAGAGCAATACTTTTTTCACCTAAAAAATTGATTTAATTTATTAACGTATTACCGATACAAAAGGTTGGAACCCCATGAAATGGGCATTGGCCACCCGAACTGACTCAACGAAGGTAGCCATGGAAATTCAAATGACAAACATTAAATTTTGATTGTCAATGATGTTCAGATTAATTTATGCATATTTCGATTAATTTTTTTTTTAATCTAGTTAAAAGCATATTATTTACGTAAAAATTAAGATATTCATGAAAAATAATTCTTTATGATATAATTTCAAAAAAAATTAAAATTTAAACTCAAAACGTCAGTCAACATATTACATTCATGTTGGCATAATGTTCCTCTACAGTACACACGCACCGAGAGAGACCAATTCAAGATCATCACGGCGCCGGAACAAGATCACTTCAATAATCTTTTTGCATGTATATATATATATATGTCTCTCATCTTGCTCCATAGCTCTCACCCATCACTTCACCACAAAACTATAATGTGTTGATTCTCTCTCTCTCTCTCTCTCTAGTACTACGTTCAGTTTCATGTCCGCTTCACCTTAAGTGTCACATTTAGACTCACTGTCCCATAACCACCACCACACATACCCCTAACCCACCCACCATCTCTCTCCAGCTCCCTCAATGGACTGCTTAAAGAGCTGGCCAGAACCAATTGTCCGAGTGCAATCTTTATCAGACAGTGGAATACAAGTTCTCCCCGAACGCTACGTTAAACGGCCCGCCGATAGACCATCTTCATTGGACTTACCCACTGGCGAGATCAATATCCCCGTCATTGACCTCCAAAAGCTCTACTCCGACGACAATTCTATAGGTGAGACCACTCTCAATCTCATCTCCGACGCGTGCCGCCACTGGGGATTCTTCCAAGTGGTCAACCATGGCGTGAGCCATGAACTTATGACGCGCACACGCGAGGTGTGGCGCGCGTTCTTTCACTTGCCCATAGAAGACAAGCAAGTGTACGCCAACACGCCGGCGACATACGAGGGTTACGGTAGCCGGCTCGGAGTCCAAAAGGGTGCCACGTTGGATTGGAGTGACTATTTTTTTCTCAATTACCTTCCTCAGTCGATGAGGGATCAGAATAAGTGGCCTAGTCTTCCACCGTCGTGCAGGTAACCACGCGCCACCTCTGCATGTGGGAATGATAATAAAGTAAATAGGACCATATGCAATGCTTATAGTATATTTGTGAGTTTTCATTCTAATAATCTAGAAGCCAGAAAGGTTTGTCATTTGTTATTAGTTATAAAATAATGTACCATCGTACTAATAATGCTCCGTTTAATAGAAAAAATGAAAAGTAGTAGGATACACTTTTTATTCTTCAAGGATAGAAAGTAAGAATGCTAAACTTTTCTTCATTTGTGTTTGGTTGGATGGGTAGAAAATAAAAATGACTAATTTTTTTTTTAATTTTTTTTGTGCTAGTTAAGATTAAGGGTGACAATCGACTCATGTCGTATCAGATTCGTATTGAGTCATAAAATTATGAATCTTTTATATTTCTTGTTCGCGTGTCAAGTCATTTTTAAGTTCATATCAAGTTATAATCAAGTTCGTGTCATAAAATTTGTGTCGAGTTCGAGTTATGTCATCGTGTTGAGTTGAAAATTTTCACTCTTAATTAAGATGAATTTTTTTTTAATTTAAATTTTTTATTTTTTATTTTTTTATTTTTTTATTTTTTTATTTTTTTATTTTTTTATTTTATTTTAGTTTTAATAAGATACATCTCAGCACAAATAATTAATTTTTTTTCCACTTTCCTTCCAATATTAGAGAAATTGATATTGGTGAGTTGGAAGGAAAGTTAATTCATCCATTTTTCCATCTTTCTTATTTTCTTTCCTGACCAAACATGATTTTATTTATCTCTCTAACTTTTCATCCTTCTATTTTTCCATCATATCAAACGGAACATAAGTCATAAGGCAAGTTCGATTTAAACTTACCTTATAAGAAAATTATTTAACGGCTATTTGTATCTTAATGAAGTGAAATTTAAGCATAGTTGTATGCTCATTAATTTATTGAGCTCAATTCGAACATAGTTTAATAAACTTATTGCGATCTAAAGGTCGTATCAGAAGTCAAGCAATTTAAGTTTAACTTGAGATTTACTTAAAAGTGAAAATTGGGCTTATAAGATAATTGAGTCGAGCTTAAAATTATTAAAATTGCCAAAAAAAACCAAAGCCATCTATCACCCGATTTGATCCGAAACTTATAGATTTATTTATAATTATAAGGCTGGTAATGAGAACATAGGTTCCCTCCAACACGGTTGGCCAAACATCGTACATCTTTCCATCTTCTGCTGTACCATTTTGACGACAACAATATTCGTAAGTCGCCTTCGTTAGTCAACGTGCAAGTAGTATAGCTTATTTCCATGCAATACACGTGCAATATGTGTATTAATGGATTCAACTGTTGGAGTTTAATATGGTAACTTTTCGATACTATAGTATATATAGATTTCTAATCCTCAATTAAAATATGTAAAAAAAAATTATTTTATTTTATTTTAATTACTTTAATAATTAATGATTGTAATTTTTTTATATTTTTTTTAGGAGGGAGGGGGACAAAGGGGTTTGAACCCTTGACTTCAAGAAGACAAAGTATTCACAAAATAAAAAATACTATTGGATCAAAGATTATTTGGTAATTATAAATAACTCAAAAGGAAGATCTACGTTTAACAAATATATTTAGTATGATACCGAAAACAAGAATTTTGGTGCTATATAGATATTCTTCGATTGTGATACCAAAAAATTGTTTTCCAATTATAAATAATAAATTGCTGCAAAAAAATTTGAAAATCTGAATATAAATTCTTTTCCAGTAGGATACATAAATTTTTTTTTCAATACCATAGAGAAGAAGATTAATATTGGACAATTTGTTATGGTTCCAGGAAATTGGTGGCAGAGTACAACGAAGAACTGGTTAAACTTTGTGGGAGATTGATGAAGGTATTTTCAATAAACCTGGGATTAGGAGAGGACAATCTTCAGCAAGCTTTAGGAGGAGAGGAGATGGGTGCAACTTTAAGGGCAAACTTTTATCCAAAATGTCCACAACCAGACCTTACACTTGGTCTCTCTTCGCACTCGGACCCTGGTGCCGTGACCCTTCTCCTTCCTGATGAGAACGTGTCTGGTCTTCAAGTCCGTAGAGGCCATGATTGGATCACCGTTAAGCCAGTCCCTAATGCTTTCATTGTCAACATTGGGGATCAAATACAGGTAACCCTCTCTCTCTCTCTCTCTCATGATTTCACCCACACTTCTCCCTACGTTGCTTTGAAAATAGACATAAGGATTGGAATATCACCCAATACAAATGAAACAAATTGAGATGAGCACCAGACTATTCGGGCTCTGTTTGTGATATGCTTTGAAGGTCTTATTGAAACTTAACTAGTCAAGCTTTTGCCCAAAATTTGACGCTTTAATATAGATATGTAGTAGTATTATATGTATAAGATATATATATATATATATACTAGTCATAACCCGTGTCTGAAGGCACGATAAAATATAAAATTCAAGCGTCCAAAAAATCAATCCCATTATATTAATTTTTTTCAAAATATATTAACTACAAATTAATCAAATATTAAATGATTAAATATATGATAAAAATGAGTGATGTGATATTTTTAGGAAAGATATATATAAATGATTAAACATATGATAAAAATAAGTGATGCGATTTGACGTTTAAGTCTGACAAAATGATGATGGGTGAAGTAAGTGATTGGTGATTGTTTTGAGAAGGAAAATATGACTGGGACAAAATTCAAACACACTCATGTTTTATTATATAGATATATATGTCCATGCATTGATATATAAATATTTATGTGTGTGTGTACGAGTCTAATGAGCCCAACAATCCCTTTTTGGGGATCGATTCATTCATTAAACAAGCTTACTCGAGTTTTTAATAAGTGAACAAACATAACGAGCTTCTATTTGGGTCTGATCTCAAGTCGTTCAAGAATAACGCGGAGTCATTTGGAACCTTTCAAAACAATTATTCTAGCATACGCAGTACGGTAGCACCTTCCTAACCAAGTTAATCAAATGGCTTGACACATCTATATCTGTGTTGCTTTGTTTGTGACAACAGGTGGTTAGCAATGCAATTTACAAAAGCGTAGAACATCGGGTGATTGTGAACTCAATGAAAGAGAGAGTATCGATTGCATTCTTCTACAATCCAAAGGATGACATAATCATTGAACCTTCTAAGGAGCTTATCACCGAGGACCGACCTGCGCTGTATCCGCCGATGACCTACAAAGAATACAGAATTCAAATTCGAATAAAGGGTCCTAGTGGAAAATCGCAAATTGAATCACTAACATCCCAGCGATAAGTGTGTGTGTTTGTGTGTGTGTGTTTTAGGGGTACAGATGAATGTGTTCTATATTATAGGTATAATTAAGAACACCATGTAACATGTATCTAGGTAACCTTTTTTGACTTGCATGGCTTAGTTTGCATTTTCATCATGTAAATCGTTTTTTTTTTTTTTCTGTAAGAAGAGACACACATATACACGTTATGGTTAGACCATCAGTATTATGTGGTGTACTATCTAATAAAAAAGTCAAAAAATGGATAAAGCAGATTACATTACCTTACATGAAGGTGGTTATATATTACAAGAATGAGTAGTTACTTAATTTTGTGAGACTCTCTTGTTCATATATTCACTTATTAATGGACAATTACACCACCTGACATTATTGACGTGATGCAACTATTACATTGAATATTTTCTCATTACCTATGTACTTTTAATGGCCATCCATTTCAAGGCAAGATTTGCGGTAAAACATCCCATGCATCGAAGGGTCTCCATCGTTACCAAGATATGAGTAATATTATTGGCACATAATAAATTGATCTAATTTGTTGATTTAATAATATAACAAATGATAGTTTCAATGAAAAAGTTTAACAGTTTCTGTCCCAATAATTCTATTAGACCATATAACTGTCACATCTTTAGATCAATAAATTAGATTAATTTTGTAGGTCCCAATAGAATTACTCCCAATTCATACATATAGATCGATTACCTTAATTCTTACGAAAACATAATTAGTGATCTTAACAATTTTTTTTATTAGATTATTAATGGATCTCAACACGGAATTAAGTCCACTATTAATCCCATAACCATAAACCATAAAAAATTCTCAAATTATACTAATATTTGATAGATTGGGTCAATGTCAAATAAATCACTTGATTTTAATATGAAAAACTCTGTTAATAGGTACTCTTGGGGAAAAAAAAAGTATTTGTATAAGCTTTTTATTCTTAGATCAAGTATTTAATGAATTTAATATTATTAAATCATTACTAATTTAGCTTTGCTATGATGTTGATGAAGTAAATTTATAATTTATGGAGAACCAATTGGTGGTATATTTGGGTGAGGAAAAAAGAGATCCTATTCCTAGAGTTTTTGGTTCATGAATTATATGGTTCTATTTGAATATGATACAACTCAATTGATAGGCACCTTTAATTTGAAAACTCGAGTGCATGATCCCAACGAAAGTCAAATCAAATTCTTATTGCATTGCCCAACTTTCCACTATGAATGGTAATAACGGTATGATTCATTCATGAATCTTTATTTTAAGGCCTCTCAATATAAGAATTTCAAAGTGGAGACCGACCGTCGAGAACTTGAGGGGCGCACGTTTTAAGTGTATATAGTACTAAAGTCATTATCGAGTACTTTTGACATTTTCAAATTTACTGTGAGTCCGAAGAAGAGACTAGGGATGTTTGGCCATGCCAAACATGATGGCGATTATACCTCGGCCTCTTTGGTTGAATGGGTCAGTCAACCAATCAGACTATTCACCCAACCTTTTTCCCACATGTATGGGTCTTATTACGTGTATGGGTGTATAACATCAAATGATACTTGAATTTTTGTCTTATAATGGCATTGAGATTCTAAAATCAGTTTCAATCAAACACACAACCAGGATGCTCAGAAAAACAAAGTATTAAACATGTAAACAAAGTGCCAAATAGGTAATGGGCAAGAATCAAGCACTTACAGATCAGCCAAACACACAAACGTCGCTTGTGCCCAACGTTTTCATGTATATACTGCCTCCCTCAACCATGGATAAAATTATTGGATTCCACCAATCATCGATCTCATAGGAAGCCATCTTTACATTATGGGAGTGATTAGCCAAGCACCTCCCGACCTTGGCTAAGGCACAAGGTGTCATTGGATGAGCACTCGTATGTCATAGTCGTGCCAATGAGTTTAAGGGGCTAACAAATCACTTCCACCAGAAAAACTCGAAGTACTCGTCAATAAGTTGTCACAATACTCTTTGATTTGTTACTCAAATTGCAAAAGAATAACACCTTTTTTCCCAAGTAGCATCTACCTCAGAGCAACCCTTCCAATGAACTAAAAAATCAGTCATATGATTGTTCTTACTCTGACTCATGGTCCTGTGAGACAGAATCTTGTTAACCTCTTTGTCAAACTATTTCCTGAATATAGATGGAGCCCTCCTGATTTGTCTCCATCCAACATCCAGAAATTCTTTATGACAAGACTTCAAAAAACTCATTTGAAAAGTTGGGTGAATTTACAATCGATTAGGCAGCTTTAAGCGATAGGCTATGTTCCCAATCTTCTTTATCGCTTCGAAAAGGACATTATAATTAGGAACCAACCCATGGTGCACTATTTATTGTTGGTACTCTTCCAAATTGCAAAAGTCAATTTTAGCAAAATTTGATAACAACTAGAAACTCTAGCAACCTACAGTCCTTGTCTACATATTTCTTCATCCGACGGGTAGCTTTGGCTAAACTATGTTTGCTTCATTAAGCAACTCTTGCTTAGAACAAGCAAACCGATATGGAGCGGGAGATCAACCTCTAGTTCTTTGTTTCACCACTTCATGGGGAGTAAGTGGTTGTTATCCCATAGCCAATTCATAGGGATTCATCCCTATAGCAGAAACCTATGCAAGTTGTATCAAACTTATGCAATATCCAATAACTCCACCCAATTTTTCTTACTTGCAGTGATATAGTGTCATAGGTAATCTTTCAGCAAGGCATTGATCTGCTTAATCTGACCATTTATTTGAGGGTGACTTGTTGAAGAAAACTTCAACTTCGAACACATGAGATTGAACAACAATGTCTAAAATTTTCTGGTCAATCTTATGTCCCAATCACTAACTATGTCTTCCAGTATACCAAAGTATTTACCACATGCTTGTAAAATAATTATGCAGCAACATCTACTAGACAAGCGTATGGTGTAGGAATAAACACTGCATACCTAAAAAATCGATCTACCACCACCATAATTGATCGTTTGACATCCACCTTTGGAAAGTTACATATAAAATCCATCGAGGTTGATTGTCATGGTCTCCTAGGAACGGGCAAGGGTTGCTGTAAACTCGTCGCCTTCTTTTAAACCTTTTCAAGTTGGCAAACTGGACAATTCCTAACATATGTCGTAACATCATCTTCCATCTTGGGTCAATAGTAAGAGCGATACAATAACAATAACGCAAGCATCCTCTCAACTTTTGGATATCCAGTCCATTGGGAGTAATGTGTTTCCCGCATCAACTCCCATCTTAGTCCCCTTTTGATAGAACCATAAAGCCTGCATCCCTTGGCATAGTGCAAGTCATATTTTAGCCAATATTTGTGAACCCCACCTTCACCGACATATTTGTTTGCCACATTATCCATCACAATGGTGAACTTGGTTGCCAACAAATAGTGCTTCCAAATCTCCAAGAAATGTACCACTACAGTCATCTTTGTCTCATGTGCTGAGGAGCGTTGTTTTGCGGAGATTTCTACTTTCAAACGCAATAGAGTGTCCTTCCTAAACGAGGACTCCTCCAATGGCCTAGACAGAGGCATCAGTGTGCATTTGAAGGGTAAGTTGAAGTTTAACATGCTAGTCTCAGTATTGGTGCAGAAGACACTACGAGGATGATTGGTAACTGTCTTTATCTTGTATTTTGTGTTTTTGTTTTCAATTTTTATCAAAAATAAAAACAAAAATATGTTTGGATACTGTTTTTGTTTTTATTTTCTATTAATTCTTTTAAAACAAAAACAAAAAAAAAAGAAACAAAAAAAAGATGTTTCAAGTAACACAAAAAACAGAGACAACACGCGTAAAAAGGGTGAGGAATTAATGAGATCCGGACTTCGATTCCGACTTCTCTTAACAGAAAACAAGGTTTTTTTTTGTTGGAGTATAAAAACTCATTTCATCCCTCTCTCCTCCCCGTCGCTTCTCTCTCTGTCTCTCTCCTCGCTCCCTCCTCTCTCCTTTCTCTGTATCAGACCACCGGACGAATTGCTAGCACGTTACCCACCTCCATCGTTGCCTCCGTCTCCACCTCCATCGCTGTATCAGACCACCAGAAACGTCTCCGCCTCCATTGATGTATTAGACCTCCATAAACGCCTCCATCTCCATTGTTGTATTAGACCACCATAAAAAATCCAGAAGATCTGTGCCTATATATGCACAAATCTGTATATATATATATATGCACGGTCTGTGTATATAAGCACAGATCTATGCATACAATTTTTGTTCTCCAAGATTGCTCCTCTAGGGCCTGAAATAGTTCTCTTCTTGTCTGACAAAAAGATAAGGAAAAAGCTGGTTCGACAGACCAGTATCTTATAAAGCAATATTCGTCGATTCGTGCTCAAGCCCAAAAGCGCTAAACGTTGCTCAACTGTCCACTCTAGTTGACTATTCATAACAGAAGATGAAATTGATTCTTCTAATTCGTGCTTTCTTATATCGTTTGGTATTTATCTGGATCTGGCCTTTGTTAACCCAATGTCCCAAGAACATTACTTCTTGGTGACAGAATTTGTATTTTTCCTTCTTGACATATAACTGGTGTTTCCGTAAGCTGTAAGAGCACCTTCCTTAGATGGTCTAAGTGACTCTCCAACAATTCACTATAGACCATAATGTCATTTAAGTAAACAACCTTGAACACATCAATGTAATCGTAAAATACATTATTCATTAAATTGCATAAATTAGTCAGGGCATTTATGAGCCCAAATGGTATTAAAAGAAATTCAAATGAACCATAACGAGTTACACAAATAGTTTTGGATTCGTCCCCTTCTGCAATTTCAATCTACCAATACTCAATCCTCAAGTCCAACTTTGTGTAGAAAGTCATTTTACAGAGCCTATCGAACAAATCAGCAACATTCGAAACAGGGCACTTGTTCTTGATAGTCACCTTGTTCAGGGCCTATAGTAAATGCACATCTTCGACGAACTATCCTACTTATTTTTGAACAGCACTGGGGCCCCTTATGGGGCCTTGGAGGGTTTT